ATGGGTAAATCCTCCCAAGCTTTCATGCCCAACTTCAGCATGGCCCAACCCCACTGTCAGGGGTGCCCCATGAATACTGCCAGTATCAGCACTCACTCAGGTAGTCAGCACATTGCTTCCCATGCCAAATAGAACTCCACCATGGAAATGCTAAGAAAAATAGAGATCTTAGTGGGAAATCTGCTCCCTAAGAACACTGTTTTGCAACCACTACAGCCACATTAAGTTCAGATGTACATCCATAACTGATGGAGTACATCTATACAAGTTCAAGTATGATCACAACGATGACAAATCAAAACTCTGAATCACTAAGTGAGAGACTTAAGAAAACAACTATAATAGCTGTATGTTTCTTTACCTCCACATTCTAATTATTTTCCTTCCATGTAATACTTTTTACATTAGCCAGAATACAGTAGCTCTGTGTAAGACAGACTGAAGCTGATACAGGCGTGAAGAAAATTAAAGAATGTACAGTATTCATGGACTAATCTACTACTTTAAAATGCATAGTTTCTAAATCAAGTCGCCCAAGCTCTTTTTTGTAACTTAAAAGAGTAGCCTAGAAATTGTTTGAATGGTAACTGAGATTTGGCATCCAAAAATAATACAGTTTCCAGCTATCAAGAAATGGTAACAAATAAGGGAATCCAGGCAAGCGCATAATGAATAAAATGGGATTCAATATAATGGATGAGGTTGCAGTTAAGTGACTTACCTGAAGCCACACAAGAAATCGCTGGCAAAATTCAGAATTCATAGTACTGACATATCTGCCTGTTATACACTTCTAAATCACAAGGCTTCTAGCCTAAGCATAATAGCCAAAGCTTAATATTGAAGTTTCTAGAATGCAGAGGCAGCAAATCTTTCTAATACACAAAGATCAGACTAGAAGACCAGAAAAAGACTTCCATGATTAAGATTCAGAGCCACCTGCGAGGTTTTGCAAGAAAATCTGTGTACAAGGATAAGTGAACAAAAATAAAGCAAGCCACACCCAACTCTAAATCTTCAAGGGATTTATAAGAATGTGAACGTTATGATAAGCAGAAAATACTTGCTGGATTAAACATTTCTGCTCTTCTATTGCTGCATTTCCATCTTCAGCAATAGACAATATTCTTAGTTAACTGCAAGGATCATGTACTGCTCAATGCACTGAGAATCTTAGTGCTAGTTGCTACCAAGAGTAAAAATTATACACGAACACAAATTCCAAACAGAGTATCAGGACAGTAACCACTGCTGAATTCTACTTTAGTGAATGCAGACAGATGCTACGCAGGACTATGAACACACCAGTTACATACCATCCTTACCTGCAAGGGAAGGAGAGTATTACTGTTGTTGTCAGTTCGGAAAACATTATCTTCAATCCATGATTTTGGAGTCAGTGACGGAGTGGAGCGAGTAAATTTAGGTGGAGCTATGACATTACCAGAAAAGGGTTTCTTCAAAGGAGAGATCTGGTTCATAGTTCCTGGAATTCCCATGTTTCCAGTTCTACGATGGTCTCTGCCATGCATTCCTCCCCAGGATATATTTCCTGTGCTCCAGCCACTACTCTGATTGCTCCAGGGTGACTGCTTCAGAAGAGGCTAAAAAGAAAGATTAATTCATATTATTTTGAAAATAATTGAAAACAATTTTTCTACTTAAGAGCAAAGAAACACTAAGCAGACAATGCTCGAAGATTCCTATAAACTTCTTCTTTTCTGATGTTGTATTAGATCATTATTGAGGCCAAGTATAAAACGTAATACAGCCACAAGAAGTTGCCTTATTGAAACTCTCCCTCCTCCACAGGCCCTGTACTGGCAATTTAGGTTTTCATCCTCACAGGAACTGCCAGGATCCTTCATATGTATGCAGAGAGCAATCCCAGGGTTAAATACGGTGTTACAAAAAGGATCGGGCCATTAATTACCTCACTGATACACTACTTCATATTTTATAAGATATCTGGAAAAAATAACACAAGAACTTCAAGTTGGTCATTTTATGTCAGCGACAAGGAATTCAAAAACTAAAATTCTGCTTCACTTTTTTCCCAATATTTTGAGTATTGCCATCTCAGTACCGTCAAAGTATTACCATATAAGAGCAAAAAAGGCACTGATCACTGTGCAGAGAATCTGTTTGAAGAGCTATCTTAACATTTCCACATTAAAATGCATTATTCTGAAGCCACTGCTCAAGTATTTTCGGAGTCATATACTGGACTATCTCTGGAATTCTGCAGCTCACTCTCTCTTATAAAAAGATTCTTCTCCCTACTTAGAAGCAGTACGAAGTATTTCTGTACCTCAACCACTACTCTCCTCAATATTAAAAATGTAAGCTGTCTTCAGAGCAAAAATTCTACAGGGGAGAAGTTTTGGTTCCTACAACTCGTGCTAAGGACAGACCCTGGCAGCCGCTGTACCACCAAGAGGTGGACCCACTGAGCCCAACTGACGGCACAGAGAGGATTTACCTTCGGTGTTCTAAACCCGACTCCTGGAGGAAAGGCTTTTCTCACCACACAAACGGGTGCGGGGTGGATGTTCTAAGTCAAGTTTAAAGCTGAATGCAGCGCTTCCACCTCAAAGGCTGCAGGTAGCCCTTAGCTTGTAATTTCAGTAACTTAAACATTTAAGGCACATTGACATGTTATGGTTTATACAGAACTTTCTGAAGACAGAGAGAGCTGTAATACCCTCTCCACATGAAAACAAACAGAAAAACACTAAGGCCGTTTTTGGTCAGGTAATCAAGCAAACATCCCATTCTGTATAATTACAGATAATTATGCTGTAGAACTTGAACGCTTCGGCTGGAATTTTGGGAGAGGCCAGCGTTGTGTTGTGAAACAAACCTGAGGAGAAAATGCCAAACGCCAGCATGCCTCTAACACTGCCAAGCTGGGCTGTCACGGGCACAGCCTCGGGCTGCCCACAACTGATAACGATCGAGAAAGCTCTCCTATGGTGCGGGGACGCCTCTGAAGAGCGCACAGATACTGAGGAGAACCACCCCTGCACCACCACAGTCCAAAGTAACTCTGTGATACCTCAGACAGGATCACTGCATCGGGGTTATGAAATAAATTCCGTACAAACTCACCTCCACTGTTTTTTTGGTTTTGTTTTTAACGGACAGGATTTGCGTTACAACGAAAGCGAAATGAGGGAGAGGCCCGTGCCACCCAGGCCTTTAGGGCCAGCAGGCGATGAGCGCGGCTCTGCCGCTCTCTGCCTTCCAACAATCACTATCTGTTCCAAGAAACAATACCAACTTCCAGCCGAACACCAAACTGTCACAGCACGCTTCGTTACAACCAGCAGCGAAGCCAGGCAGCCCGAAGCACTGCCCCGTCCGCGGGTGCAAAGCCACGCCATTTCGGGATGGGCGCTGACAGCCCCGGCGGGGCGCGCGGTGCCCGCAGAGCTGCGGGCGGCCCCGGGCGGAGCGGCCAGGGAGCGGCGGGGCGGCCGGGAGCTGTCACGCGCATTGTTCGGGGCGCGCCGCGTTCTCCGCATGCCGACGGGGAGGGAGCGGGGCGGGGGAGAGGAATATTCCGCCGGCGAGGCCCCTCCGTGAGGCGAAAAGGCGTCCCCGGGGGCGCGGGCGCCACGCGCCCCTCCACCTGCCCGCCGAACGGGTGGGGATCGGCGGCCAACTGCCTCCGCCCGAGCGCCGCCGCCTCCCCGCGGGGCCGCAGGTGCCCTCCCGCGGCGCGGCGCCCCCCGCTCCGCTCCCGGTACCTGGTGGTGGTTGTAGGAGTTCCGCTGCTGCAGGAAGGCGGCGGCGGCGGCGGCCGCCTGGTGTTGGTGCTGGAGCTGCGGGCTCACCGGGGACCTCCGGTTCTGCTGCTGTTGCTGCTGCTGAGGTAAATTCATCTGCGGCGGCGGTGGCGGCGGGGGGGCGGCCGAGAAGGGGCTGCTGAAGGGCCCGGCGCACGGGTTGTGAGGAGACACCGGCGAGAAGCTCTGGAAGAAAGCGGGGTTGATGGACGACGGGATCCCCGGGTAGAAGCTGGTCTCGGACTCCGGGCTCGGCGGCGGCATGGCGCTGATCTGCCCTCCGCCGCTGGAGACCGGAGGCTGCTGCGTCTGCTGCGGAGGCGGCGACGAGGTCTGCACCGACCAGGGGGTGCCGAAGCCGGGCAGCGGCGGAGGAGGAGGGGAAGCCGCCGAGGAGGAGCCGCCCCCGCTCTGGTGATGGGGGCTGGGGATCTCCGGGCTCTGCAGGCTGCTGAAGCCGGAGCCGAGCCCGCCGGGCAGGAGGGTCCCGGGGCTGCCCAGCAAGTGGCTGTTCGGGGGGGACTCCATGGGGGGCGGCTCGGCTCTCGCCCGCGGACGAGGAGGAGACGGCGGCGGATTCACGCAGGAGGCGGCGGCGGCCACCCCCACATCGGGGTCGGCGGGCGCCGGTCCCCCCGCGCGGGAAGGGGCGCCCCGCTCGGAGCCCGCCCGGCGCTCGGCGGCGCTGAGGGGCCCGAGGCTCGGCGGCGGCTCCGGGGGGCGAGCGCCGAGGAGCTGGAGCTGCTGCTGCTGCTGCCTGCGCTCCTGCTGCCGGTACTTGTCAGTGGGGCGGCTGAACTGCTGCTGCTGCTGCTGAGGGGGGTGGCGATGATAGTCGGGGGGGTGGCTGCCGCCGAGCTGGGCTGGGCTGAGCGGCGGCGGCTTCAACTCTTTCCTCTTCTGGCTCGGCGGAGGAGGAGGCGGCGGTTGCTGCTGCGGTTGCTGCTTGTTTAAATCCTGCTGGGGGCCGAGAGCGGGTTTAAAGTCGGAGGAGGGGTGGCCGGGAGGGGGGTGTCCCGGCGCGGGGCCGCTGCCCAGCCTCTCGCCGCCCGGCTGCTGCTGTGTCACCACCGGCGGCCGCTCCTCCTGCGCGCCGCGGGGATGCGCCGGGAACAGCGCGGAGGAACCGGGCGCGGTGGGTGAGAAGGGGCAGGAGGAGGAGGAGGAGGAGGAACGGGAGGCGGCTGCCGGCGAGGGGAAGGACCACGGCGGCCCGGGGCTGGGGCTGCGGCTGGGGGCCGGCGGCGGGCCGGGGTCCCCCATGGGCCGGCGGGGCTGCCCCGGCCCCACGGAGAGACAAAGGTAATTAACCTGGGGCGGGGGCGAGCGCTGCCGCAAAGCGCTGTGCGAACCTAAAAATAGCCACTTCCTACAATAAAGCCTTTTTCCTCGTATAACCCCCGCTATGCTACATACGGAAATCGGAGCGTTTTGATAATAATAAATAACCCTTTTTTGTCAGCTCTCCCCACCCGCCCCCCGCTCCACGACAACCCCTCCTCTAATTTTCACGCACTGCCCCCAAAGGGGCACCCCTTCCTCTCGCAGCCGCGCCCGCGCCCCGGGGCTCCCCGAGCCGCTACACAACACCGCGGGGCGCTCCCATCCCCGGCCGGCCGCCGGTCACCGAGCGGGGCGGGCGACAGCCGGCCGTACCCCAACGCTCCCGAGCGGGACTAACACTCCTCACCGCTGCCCCCGCCCCCGATAGCGGCCGCCGGCCGGCTGCAGCCCCCTTAAGAATGCCGGAACATCCGTCATAGTCGCGTCACGGTCCCGCCCTCCGTCAGACCTTGGTAATGAGCCGGCGGTCCCGCCCCCTCATGAATAATGCACGATCGCGAGGGAGGGGATGCGCTCGTTCCGCCGAACGACGAGCGCCGAAGGTGGGCGCTACCATTTAAAGGGCGCGGGGAGAGGAGAGCGTCTTTAAGCGACGCCCCGAAAACGCGCCGGCCTTCGATGAGGCATCTACCCCGAAGCCGGAAACAACCAAAATGGAACTATTTTATTGTGTCCGCGGCAGCCGGTACTTCCGCGGAGGGAGGGAGGTGCTGGGCACACGAGCCGTGGTTTCTTCCGCCGCCCCGTGCCGCACCGTCCGGCGGGCGGGGCGTCCCGCCCCTCGTTTGCATTGACGCAGGCAGGTGGGCCGGGCCCTGGCGGCACGAGCTGGGGGATGTCGAGGTTGGGCCTGGCCCCGGGCTGTGTGCTGGACTTCTGCTGTCAACTGATCCCCACCGTTCCCGCTAACCGTGTCCTTCAGTGCCACATCTCCACGTTTCTTGAGAACTGACTCTGCTATCTCCCTGATTAGCCTGTTCCAAGGCATCACCGCTCTTTTTGAGAAGAAACTTTTCCTTACGTACAACCTGAACATCGTCTACAAAACCAGTGCACTCAGCTACTCCTCTTAAGGCCTGTACTCCAGACCCTTTGCCAGCTCTGCTGTCCTTCTTGGGACACGTTCTAGGAGACCTCTTTGAGCCACGTAACCCATCAACTGACCCAAGGAAAACTAAGGCAGGCCTGAGGTATCACAGATCACAGAATGGCCAGGGTTGGAAGGGACCTCAAGGATCATGAAGCTCCAACCCCCCTGCCACAGGCAGGGTCACCAACCTCCCCGTTTTACACTAGACCAGGCTACCCAGGGCCCCATCCAATCTGGCCTTGAACACCTCCAGGGACGGGACATCCACAGCCTCTCTGGGCAGCCTGTTCCAGCACCTCACCACTCCCACAGTCAAGAATTTTCCTCTGACATCCAACCTAAATCTCCCCTCCCTCAACTTAAAACCATTTCCCCTTGTCCTACTGTTATCAACCCTTTCAAAGAGTTGATTCCCCTCCTGTTTGTAGGTTCCCTTTAGGTACTGAAAGGCTGCAATGAGGTCACCCCGCAGCCTTCTTTTCTCCAGGCTGAACAAGCCCAGCTCCCTCAGCCTGTCTTCATAAGGGAGATGCTCCAGTCCCCTGATCATCTTTGTGGCCCTCCTTTGTTTTACCCTTTTTTATGGTTCTGGAAACATGGCTTTTAGCAACAGAGTTGAACACAAATAAGTAGCTGCAACTATAGGTGTAATGCTATTGCAGATGTAGATATCCTTGAAAAGAACAAATTAAAGGGCCTCCACTTGTTTGCTGTAACTCAGTGATGAGAGTGGTGCACATCTGCAGAGTGAGTGATAGCACACTTAAGAAGGGTCAGTATATGCCTGATTTATCCTACTTCTCCATAGGCATCCATTAGTGGCCTCTATCAGAAGCTGCATTGTTGCTTTCCATTTGGCCAATGGATCTTTGGCCTGAACCAGTGCTTTAATTATTAAATCTGTGTTTATTACATGTATTTAAACTGTAAAGGAAAAATGTTTAGTTCCACATATCTACAGTCTTTTTTGATGCAATCATGTTCCTGTAGACAGGAGTAAGCCTACATGGGTGTGTATATTTAGATATCTATGCTACCTTGCGAGTTTGCCATGCAAATACATGTGCAGCATAGAAGACTAATTGCTATTTTATTTTTTCTCATATTTCAGTTAATATTGGCATCCATTCTGTTTCAGGAGCTCTACAGCCATCTTACAAGTAGCAAAAAACAGGGTACAGATTAAGGCCCTGTTGATGATGATTGCATGCTGAGTGAATGCTGCCTGCTGAGTGATGGTTGCTCCCTGAATAGAGAGTTGCTTCATCGCACAGTCCTCATAAACATGGCTTCAGAGAGCTGTAGAACTCGTAGGACCCAGCTTCCCCTTGCCTTTGTGTCACACACCTGACATTTGGTTATCTGCAAACCTGAACAGAAGCTGTCCCACACCTGGGGCATTTGCTGGCATCTAACAATGGTGAAGTAGTGCTGCACTGTTCACCCTTATAGCCAGCTGCCTGTTGCTAGCAAGTAAGGCAGGAACTTCTTTGACTGCAGTATTTGTCCCCTTGCCTGAGTCCCAATTCTTGCAATTCTTCTAATAGAACTGTTGTGGAGTTCACAAGTTCTTTTAAATCAGTTAGAAGACAAGAGTACTCACATCCTCTGTGGCAGCTTATCTCTGCCATGGTAACTATCTGCCCCAGTCATGCACACTTATTAAAAAACTTTCATGGAGGAAATCTCATATATTTTTAATTGTATATAAAGTAACCATCCGCTCTGAATTAGTTGTCTAATCTTCTGCAAACAAGAGACAAGTGCTACCAAAGTAATGATTCATCTTTCCCTAGTACAGGTACATTTAGAGAGAGAAACCTCATCTCTCCTTGCTGGTTTTGAGGAAAGCTCATGGCTATATCCTGTTCAGGAGCTCTTTGGTGCTCATTGGTCTTGTGGTACAAATAGGCTCCTTGACTCTGACACAAGCAAGAATGGCCTTATTGAGTCAAACCATGCATCCTTCCAGCTGTGTGTCTACCAGCTCCTGCCTCTAAGAGCTATGAGCCCTTAGCTCGTTTGCTGGGGCCACAAGTTCTAGCTTCTTTATCAAATCATTTCCTTTCAAGAAGTCATAGGCCCAATTCTCAGAGTTTTCCCTCTCCACTTCTTAGTTCTCCACTTGAGCATGTGTCCTTCACACTCCAGTGCTTTATTTTTAATTCTTCCTTGTAATCCTGTTTTCTTTTTTTTCAGCTGCCCCTTTCTGGAGACCTTTATTGGATTGGGCAGTAGGAAAGACTGTCTGAAAACACATGCCTAAATGGATGTGTAGGAAACTTGACATGTTTAGCCAGTTCTTTCAGCTACCTCAACTGTTTGCAGCTTGGTGGTCTGCTAGATTCGCCTTTCCAGAATTTAGTTGATAGTGGGATACTTGGGCTCCTCATTCTAATTTCAGAACAGAACCTCTGTCCTGGATGAGCTGAGGGAGCTAGAAGGAGTCATGCAGCTCCGGTAAGTGGCTGAGAGGAGTGGGTGTTAAGCCATGTGCAATATCACTGCCTGTAATATGTGCATTGAAAAAAGCAGATGTGGCAAAACAAGCTGTCGGATAGGTAAAACCATATATACCTAAGTTATGGTTCTGGCAGCCATTAATCATCCTGCTTCTGTCTATTCACTGTAACAGACATGCCAGATGTCCACTTCACTTGGGAGGCCCATGCGGAACTGAGGCTAACAGCTCTCCAGGGTTTGTCAGCGCAGTAAAGACGATGGCCATCTGAGTTTGTCTTGCTGTGTTCTGCATCATCCACTGTGCATGAAATTTTGTGTGCCAAGTTGAACAACCAATGCTATAGAAGAGAAAGCATAAAGACAAATCACAATGAGCTGTATTAAGACAAATCTGGTAAGCTGTAAGGGTTCCAAAGCAGCTCTTCTGGCTGGAACTTAGGTGGCATGAAAGCTCTCATTTAGGCAATACTTCTGAATTGTACCCCTGAGTGGTTATTGCCTCCTCTAGAAATTGCCATGCACAGCTTAAGTTCTTTCCTTTTCATAAAACCAGGAGAATAACACCTGCTATTGGCCAGTGTTAGAGAGACAGTATTATTATGCGAGACAATTTTGGCCCATCATTCTGCTTTTCTGCTTGAACAAAAAAACCTCTAAACTTTTAGTACTTATGAAAGCTGGAAGGGATTGTGCTGAAATACTGCCTTCCTTGGAGCGGCCAGTGGGTTTAAATTCTTTAAAAATGCAAGTTCTTGGTGTGGAATCTGTACCTTTTTCTAATCAGATACTGCTAAGGATGTGTTATAATTTTGGGGAATTTGTGATCAGTCATGAAATGGATAAAAATCAAACTATGATATGTAGACTTCTATGTATTTGCAGAGCTATTTCAGTGCTTCCTCATTTTGTAAGTTACCACAGACACCAGAATATTGGGAACCTAGCACATAAAAATGAAAATAACTATGCTTCCAGAATCAGTTGTTCCCCTCCCATTTGTTTTTTTGGAAGGTCCCAGTGGCTGTGATTTTGAATATAGGCCACAAATAGCACGCTAACCTAAAAATTATCTTTGTTCTCATGCTCGCATTCCAATACTAAAAGCTGCTTCTCTGGCTTTTTTTTTTCTTTATTTATTTTTTCTCTTCCATGTTACAATTAAAAGCAAACATAGCTACAGGTAGTTAGTACTAACTTCAAAAAGCCTTTTTGTTGTGGAGTGGCTCAACACAGAGAGTATCTGTGGCTACTTGTAATGCAACAAACTCTTCTTTTGAGAGCCCACAACGTTTATAGGTCTTTCACCACTTACAGTGATTTACTGCTCTGTTTGACCCCTCTTCCAAGGCTCTGCAGCTACAAGAAAACATTTTTTTCTCTGCCATTTTACGTTCTCTCTTTTCCC